AAGACGGCCCAACTTTAGGACGATCAACGAGGGTCTTGCAAGGAAAGCCATTGAAACTAGCAATTGGCAAGATGCCTTTCGCAATTTCTCTGTGATTCTTCCTTTCGGACTTTCAAACTCTGTTCCTGCAGCACTGCGGCGAATCGGCCGATTTGCGCCCGCAGACAGGACAGGACTGGCGAAAGGAAACCAACAGAGAAACATTAGAATGTCAGCAGCATTGCGCTGGGCGATCATTTCTGTCCCAGCCTCCGTGCCAATTTCTCATCTGTCACATTTGCGACTCCTGCTTGCCCCCCTCATGCACTCCGCATCACCATCCTGCGACGGCCCAAATCCCCCTCGCTTGCAAGTGTTTGGCATCCTAGCGGGCGTTTCTTCGTTTCACAACAAAGAAATCTTGTAAGCGATGATTGGCATCTCGCAAACGTGGTTTGCTACGATGCCATCACCGGTTTTTCATGCCTGCGATGCGTCTGCTACGTTGCACGCTATACTCACCGCAATGAGGCAAGTTTCAGGCCGGTCGGTCTCTCAACGCATCGATGTTCTTGGGGGACAATGATCATGATGAATGTATCCGGGGAGATAGGGTGGTGGGTGGTGCCGGAGAACGCCCCGCCGATCACAGAGCCACTTTGCTCCGGATTGGGCCGAAGCATGCCGGCATCGTGTCCCCGCTCCCGCTCACAGACGATCCGGGTGGACACCGCACTCTCCTCCGCGCCCCGGGGTTCTCCGGGAAACCGGGCCCGATGATCACTTCCGGACTGGACACAGCGGGCCAGGATACGACGGACGAGGGGAATAGGGAATGGGGGCCGCCCGCGTGCACGGCACCGACGATGGCCTCCGCCCTCCTCTCGTTCCGCCCACGGGCTGTTGGCGCCAGGTGGAAAGGGCAGAATTCCGACCGAAAGGGGCTCTAGGAGTATTTCTCTCCTGCAAAACCCACGCGGCGCCCACACTTTTTGCCCACATCTTCATCCACTTACCCCCGATTCTATTTCCCGATTCCCCGAGTGCCGCACCCAAAACCGACAAGTGACCGACGATAACTCCATCACTCAGACATGCACCAAGTGGCACTCAACTCCTGAACCTCCTGAACTCGGTCTCGGTAGTGGAAGCCCAGTTTGTCGAGTAGTCCGTCGTGAGAGCTTCATCTATCTTGACAAGTCAATGAACACAACCCAAACTTGAAGCGCACCAACCCCAGCAACGTAAACCCGAGTCAGGAGAGCAATTTATCGACCGGCTCACGCGGGAATACTTGCTGCCGTTCGGTCCGCGGCGTGGATGTGCCGTCACGTAATTCCCAATCTCCACTGAATAACGTGCGTGCAGCGATAAAACAGAGGAGAGCTTAATTTTCCCCCTCACCCACCCAAAGCTCCGAGCACCGCTGATCATCAGCGGTGATCGCGTTGATCCGGTCCTGTCAACCGAATATCAACAGCGAGAGCCACATATAACCAACCATTCGACAATCAAGCTTAAGAAAAGACGGAAAAAAAAATGGGATGAAAGACTCTGCAGAAGATAATGAAGAAGAACCACTGTCTTTGCCACTAATTTGCCCCCTTTCCCTCGTGTTGGACCCTCCTCGGCTCCAGATACGATGCCACCGCGACCGGCCAAGTCCCAAAAACCGACCCCAGGATGCGGTGCTTTTCCGAGTCTATCGCGTTTGAGAATGGCCAACACCCCCTGCAAGTGGACTGACTGCACTGGGCAAAAAGCCCTCTCTTTGGAGGAGTTTCCCGCCCTCCTCCCAGCCAAGAGGGATTCGATGAAGAGTTTCAACGCAAACTGGCGTTGACTTTCAACCCGTGCAATTTCAATGTTCCGGAATCCTCCCCCGTCTGATTCGAGCGCTTGAGCTGCATCTGGCGAGCTGTCAGCGACCGTTGGTGTGCCACCTCATGTGCTTCCCGACGCAGGCACGATCGCCAAGGCGGCACTCGAAATCGTCTCGTGATGTCTGCTGTGCTGCAGCACAAGCGCCGGTAACGATTTGCCCGTCTGAACACAAACGGGAAAGTCAGCTCAAAGTCCGGGGTTGATGGCCTCGTTGATACGACTACAAGCTGCACATGGCCATGTAGAGTTGCATGCTGCAGGCCGGCACTCGGAAACCCCAACTTTCACAATCCCCAATTCCCGTCACTGAGGCCCAATATTTCCATGTTTCCCCCCAAAATGCTCCAGTTCACGGCGAACATACAGCAAACGCACCGCGGCTACTGCTCTTGTTCATGCGGCTTGGCTCTCATGCGCACCACTGGGACGACGAGAGTTCGCATTCCCTGCCCTATCCGGGTCGTCCGTCCATTCAACCTCCCCTCCCCCCCTCCTGGGTCTGTCTCTCTATGGACCCCTAGCTGTTTCTTTCTCGGTCTCTCTCCACTGTCAGCGGCACGCACGGCAGTTCCTGGCTCTTCAATGTCGCCTTGAAAGCTTAGCCCAGACAGTTTGTCCGTCCTTCATTGCTTATTCGGCCCTGGTCCAGCACTTTTCGAGTCTAAACCGGGCCCACGGCAGGCTGAGCTTAGATATGCAAGATCGGACGACTGCAACATTCAAGCCCAACCCTTCATCTCATTGATGGAGTCTTCCCTGGCGGCTGCTCCATCTATATTGCCGTCTTTCCATCACCAGCCCAGGTGTCTCCCAGTCATCGAGGGCAATTTCCGCCAATAGGGATGGTCAGTGGATGTCTTCGACGAGAGTTGTCCCTCATGCTCCCTCCGACAACCTGGTTCTAACCTTCTCCCGAGCGATGGCGTTTGCTTGACGAGAGATCTCGGCCCCATCCACCGCTGTCAGGTTGATCTCGTCCCGGTGCTTGGCGGTATATGTATCGTGACATTCCCATCGTCGTTTGTGTCGGTTTTCCTCTACCTCCCACCGGCCTCTCTCTTCGCACCAATCCACCACCACCACCACCCTCGTTTCAGCCGCTTGCTTGTCTTCTTCGCCGACATGCGTTTCGGTTCCGTATTCTCCCTCGCAGCTGCGCTGCTGAGCGCCACCGTCCAGGCTTATGGCAACCCCGGCGCCTGCTCCGGCCAGTGCTGGTCTCACGACCCTTCCGTCGTCCGCCGCGACTCCGACGGCACCTACTTCCGCTTCGAGACCGGCAGCAAGATCGGCATCTGGAAGGCTCCCGACCTGGTTGGCCCGTGGACCTACCAGGGCGCTGCTCTCCCGTCGGGTAGCAAGATCAACCTCAAGGGTAACGACGATCTCTGGGTAAGACGGAGTAGTGTTTCACAACCCCTCCTTTTATCACGAAATCGGATGAACTCGTCCCCTCGCACACAAAAAAACATGTCACCCAGCCAAGATATCTTTCACAATAAAACTGGCCTATAGGAAGCTACACATACTTATACAAATCTACTCTCACATAGGCCCCTGATGTGAACAAAGTCGGAGACCAGTACATACTCTACTACACCGTCTCCTCCTTCGGCGTCCAAGACTCGGCCATCGGCTATGCCACCTCTCCCACCATGGAGTACGGCTCCTGGACCGACCACGGCGCCACCGGCGTCGCCTCCAAAGCCGGCAGCCGCTACAACGCCATCGACGCGAACCTCGTCCAGACCGGCGGCAACTACTACCTCAACTTCGGCTCCTTCTGGTCCGACATCTTCCAGGTGCCCATGACCAACGGCGGCGTCAAGGCCAACGGCAACCCCTACAACATCGTCCTCAACACCACCGCGCCCCAGCCCGTCGAGGGCGCCTTCGTCTACGAGCGCAGCGGCACCTTCTGGGCCTTCTTCAGCTCCGGCTCCTGCTGCGGCCTCGACAGCAACCGCCCCTCCCCCGGCAACGAGTACAAGATCTTCGTCTGCCGCGCCACCTCCGTCGCCGGGCCCTACACCGACAAGAGCGGCAAGAGCTGCACTGCCGGCGGCGGCACCCTCCTCCTCCCTAGCCACGACAAGATCTACGCCCCCGGCGGCCAGGGCGTCTTGGTCGACCCCAAGCGCGGCGCCGTTCTCTACTACCACTACATGAACACCGACATTGGCTACGCCGATTCGCAGACCCAGTTTGGCTGGAACGTCATCTCTTGGTCTGGCGGCTGGCCTTCCGTCTAAACGTCTCGATGGCTACTTGTATGGCGAGAGTTTTCAGGGGTGATGGTTATTATCTTCTTGTCAATATTTGAGTCCGGTACATATACAAAATGGACTGATATACCTTTCACCGTTCAATATTCAAGATTGGCTTCCTATTCTTGCTGTGCTTTTCTGCGCAAAAAAACACATTTCACACGTTTGTCCCACTCGTATTGCCTCACTTGTGTGGCTAAGTCCTCAAGTTGAGAGGCCCATGACTCTTGTCCCTCGGCCGTTGTCTCAAGGCAGTTCTCCAATTTTCCCGCCCTCGGAGTCCCCCGGGCGCCGGCGAACTGACGGATGCCACCCTCCCAAGGTCCGTGACTCCAATATCAGTTGTGGTATAGGTCATGTCTAACAGACGAGTTCCGTCAATCCATTGGGACGATTCATATTGTGAAAATCAGCGTGGTCTGGCCGGAAAGCATGAAGTAGACCTGATTTTGAATACTCAGTGTCGATCAAGAGCCTTGAGAAACAGTTTCCACCAAGCCTCTGTCAGGCATTCAATTATAACAGGAAACATGTTGCAAGTTGTGAAACAGGTATTACTGTCTCTGCCAGGTCTGCTGCCAAGGAACCAGCTTCGACACCACGATTTCCTCAGTACTGTGAAATTCTCAGCGTCAAGAAGAGGATTGGATTGTTCAAACTCAACAGTAGAGCAAGCAAATATCATGACGTGACAGCTCACATAGACAAACTCTCATTGTGGTTTTTAAGATGCACTGATATCATTATTAACTACACTATGCTCTATGCAATACCCTGACTACCAATATTCGTTATGGTCATCATCAGGTTGGTCATTAGCCGATGCCTCTAGGCTCTCTCGCAATCATCTACAATCATGAATGGCTTCGTCTAAAACAGACCGAAGCAGTTGGCATAGTAGGTCACGGTCGCACTCCAGTCGGAGAAGACAGCGTCAACACCAACATCCTGAGCAAGAACGTGGAGCAGGTTGTAGACGTCGCCGTCATTTTTGGTGACGTTGGCGATGGAGGTGTAGTAGTAGCCGCCCTTGGATCCGTCACCCAAGAAACCGGAACGCTCCAGAGACCAGGAGACGAGCTTGAGACCCAGCTCCTTGGCCTTCTTGGCGTAGCTGCTGGGGACGATCTTGCCATCCTCGACGGTGACGAGGTAGTAAAGAGGGGGCGCCATGATCTTGACACCTGCGGCAGCGAACTCGGTGAGGTTTGCGACGGCTCCGGGGAAGGTCTCGGGGGTGTCGCCGCTCTCGTCGAGGAGGACAGCCTGCTTGCCGAACTCGGGCTCGGCCTTGAGCCAGTAGAGGACGTCAGGGTACCAGAAGGATTGAAGAAGAACGCGCTCGGGGGCGATGCCAGCCTCCTTGTACTCGTCGACGATCTGCTGAGCGTACATCTCCTGGGTGTAGTTGCCCTCGAAGGGCATCGGGACCTCGGGGAGTTTGAGCTCGGGGGTGAACTTCAGACCAAGGTCGTTGGTCAGGGCGATATGCTCCTTGTGCGACATGACAGTGCCGCAGGTGGCGTACAAGTCGGTGCGGTAGTTCGGGGTGCCGTGGAGGAAGGCCTCGGGCGTGGTGGCAGAGGCGTTGAAACCATCCATCTTGCTGCAGAGCGACTTGAACTCGGCGAGAGTGATGTCTGAAGTGCAGCACTTGGCGGTAGCAGCTGTGCCGCTGGAAGCGGCCTTGAAGGGAGTGGTGCACTTGTCATTCAGCTCGGGAATGGCGACGATGTTGGTCGTGGTGTGGAGATCGCATTGGGAGTGGCGGCACACCAGCTCGCGGTCCTTGGTGAAGGCAACGTCGCATTCGAGGACACCAGCACCCATACGGGCACCTGCCAGGTTGGACTCGACGGACTCCTCGGGAATCATCATTGTGCCGCCGCCACGATGACCAATGCTCCAGCTCGAAGCCTTGATGGGCTGCTCGGTACACGACTGCAGCTTGTCCTTGAGGGGGCCTTCGTCCATGTCGTTGACCAGCCAGTAGGGTCTCGGGCCCAATTGGATGTTGGTGATGGGCTTGTAGACCGGTTCCGACTTGTTGTCCGACCTCGGGTACGGGACGGCACCGACTTGACGGGCGGCGGCGGCAACGAGGCCGGAGACGACGACGGAGGAGTAGTGCATGTCGACGGTCGAGGAGGGTCAATTGACTGTGGCCTGGGAGACAACGAGCAGACGATCAGCTGGGGGATCCGCTGATGTGAGGCCGAGGACTTGGAGAGCTGGAGCTGGAGCTGAAGGGAGAGGAAGCTGGCAGACGACAGCTAGCAACGAGGCTGGCGCGGCGATCTTTTTGTAGGAAAGATGGGATTTCCGCCAAGAAGGATAGCTGTGCAACCATCAGCGAGAACCCCGCTGTGGGATCCATAATCTGATCGCTGCTGCATGTTTTGGTCTGATAAAGTAGGTTGACGGGTTCGTACGGGGAAGCAATGGGTCGAGATTGGACGAGAATTCAAGGCACACCGTCGGGCGACATGCTTGTATTCGGCATGGCCGTCGCGGTGCTGCTCTGCGGAAGGGCGGAAGGGCTGGCAGGTGGGCCGTAGGATCAACTGGTTATCAGCACGTGGTGATGGTTCCGGGGTGCATCTGGCAGACCGAGCAGAGCAGGGTGAGCAAACGGAGGCTTGGCGGGAAGGGACAAGCAGCGTGTTGGTGAAGCGATGACGGCCTCTGTCGGGATTGAGCGCAGGTGCATTGAGAAAAGATGTGTGCAAGGGAAGGTTGGACGTGGGGTTCGCGGTGTTGGAGGGAAACGCCCGGGATCATTGTGAGGGGTTCCCGGGGTACGTATCCACTAGTGCCGTTGGACGGCCCCGCTGTAGCTGCGGGAGGCGCTGCGTGTCGCCGGGAAGCCTCCTCATTCGCCAATTGACCGACCGAAGCTCGATAAGGAAGCTGCTGGTCGAGATGCTCTTTTCGCCGAGGCACGAGCATGCGCTGCGGTTTCACTCATGGCTGACCTGGATGATACACGAGTCTTGCTTTTGACGTGGACTGAGGTGGTTACTCTTCTTGTTGAGACCGAGTAGACAGGCACCCACCAGCTTGGTACGGTTTGCAGCTGGAGAACCCTCAACCCGGCGGCTCCTTTAACCATGTCAAGGTTTGTAGGCTAATCTTACAGTCTCCAAAAGTATGTCAAATGCGGGTTCTGCCAAGAATCCCATATCAGCTCCGCGAGTCAGCGGAATCTGATAGGGCGACTGTCAGAATTCGGTCTTGTGCAACATTTCCCATATGGGTCAGCATGGCAACTGTGAGACAACACTCGAATAACTTCAGATCTGACCTACTTTTGGGAGTAAGAAATAACTGAACATCACCAAAGTATAGAAGAATGAGCCAAGATAAAATCGCAGTTGGATATACAATGTTGTAGCGCAGGGACTAACTGACGCAGGTGTCGAAAACCATCGGAGGCCGCATTCATGATGCTGAAACTGGAGAAATCACCCAAACAACAGTATGACCCAAGGTATGCCACAATATCACAAGCCTTATGTTACAGAAGAAGAAACCAAAAGTAGATGAAAGTGATTATTATTGGCAAAAGCGGACATGTCTGCCGCCTGAAAGTTCAACCATCCTAACGCCTCGAACGACAGTTGCTAAAAGCCCATAACTCCGTTTCATACTCGAGGGGGTATTTCCACGTCATTCGAAAGGCCGTTGCATAACAAAACATGAAATCAACCACGTGCTTCCCTCCTTCATCATCTCGTCGTCAACTCAACATTGGTTGGGTTGATTTAAGCACCGGGGTAGGCGTGGTTGGCCTTGGTGCTGTGGCCGCGCGAGCGCATGGCCTCGAGGGTGTCGAGAACAGTAAGGAACATGAAGATGGCCCAGATGAAGAAGGCGAACGCAACGCCCGCCTGGGAAGAGCCGCAGTAAGTGTTGTTACCGCAGTTGGGGCTGCCGACGAAGACGGCGTAAGCGATGGCACCGGCGAACCAGAAGATGGTGGTGATGACGAGGAGTGCCAGTGAGACCAGCTTGTGGAAGAGGCGGGTCATGTACAGAGGGGTAAGGCCGACATAGGCAAGGACGAGCAGAGACCAGACCGAGTTGAAGATGATGAAGTTGACGATGTCGGGTGAGCGGGACCAGTTGCTGAACCAGCTGTGGTAGGCACTGGCGACTGTGGCAAAGTTAACGGTAGATCTATTGCACGGTAGAGATTTTGAGCGTACCATAGGCAGTAAGGCCGAGCTCAATGATGGAGAAGACGGCAGCCACAATGTGGGCGATGGGAACGAATCCGAGAGCCATGGCAACGTTTGCGATCCTTGTCTTGGTGTTTAATGGTACGTGAAAGGTGGTGTTTAGGTAAGCTTGAAAGCTGACGAGGATGTCTGGCGCAGTAGAGTGTGTTGGTTCTGTTGGTTGTGGAGTGAGTGAGTGATCAGGGAATGGGTGGAAGAGGCGGCGACGGTGAATAAGTAGTAGTCCAAGGACAAGGCGAGCAATGACCAAGCACCAAGCACCAGAGATTTTCTTGCCTGGGGCGTGTTGAAGGACTGGATGGCGTCAGATGAGGTCGGGTGGGCTACCTTACCTACCTTACAAAGGCGGGAATGCAAGAGCTGCGGCGGCGCATACGCAGTACGGTACGGTACAAGAAGATTCGGTATGCTGGGCAGGCAGGAAGGACCCTGCTGCAGGCATGCTAGCTTTGTCGTCACATTTTGTCCGTCACTGCCGTTGGGCAGGAGAGAGGAGGCACTTTGCCTTCCAATAGGTTTAGGTGGCACGCCCAGGCCCCCGTCCCAAGTCGCTGTTACTGCGGACGGAGGAGTTTGCTGCCAGTTGGTGATGTGCGCTGCGTAATGGGGTTGGGGCTGGAGGGCCGACAATGACGTGGTTCCAGCTTGACTGGCTACCATGACCTCATTCTTGATGCAGTCGACACGGTCCAGCCAATGAGAGGCGGCGCGAGGCCCTAAGCGACGCTAATCATCAGCCACTTCAGGCCACTCAGCGTGGCGGGTGACTCCAAGCCCGGTCCAGTGTCCAGTCTTTGCCTTAGTTAGGTAAGCGGTGGGGTGTGTGCCGTGTACGAATAGCGGTCGTGGCGTCTCCCTGCTCGCATCTTCCATCATCTGCGATCCCAGCGAAAATCGCCCTTTCCTCATTGCTGCTGCCTCTGTCCCTCTCGTCCCTCTGCATGCCAAAAACTGGAATTTAGGGGCCACTGCTCGGGAAGCTGTTGCCGTGTGGTGGTGTCTCTGCTCCGGCGCGCCTGACGCGAGGAAAAGAAACTTCAAGCTCCTACTAGCGTCCCAAGGCTTGGAGTACTTGAGTACCTAACGCAGTCTTGCCGTGTCGATGAAGTCAGCATTGATCCATCGTCAGTGCTCCCCGGTTGCCTCTCACCTCTTCGTTCTCAAGACCAAAACGCGGCCGAGGCAACGCGCTGCCAGATGTCTCCAGCCCATGTTCCAACCCAATCTGGATAACCCGTCTTGCTGTCAAGACAAGCCGCTGAAACCTCCAGTTCCCTCCCTACCTCACAAACACCATACCCTCCCAAGTCCATTGGCTTCTGTCATCCACAATGCAAGACAGCCACTGAAGGCCTCTCTCCTCTCACCTCACCCCCTCCCCTCGCGACCCTGCATGCTTGGCCTGTGATGCACCGACATGGATCTCTCCTCATTGGAACCACAGACCATCCATCCATCGTCCAACTACCGGTGCTAGCCAACCACCAACCAAGTCATGTAAAAGTAGATGTGTGCCCAAGAACACCTCAACCACCTCACAATGACCTAACGCCGGCAAAGAGCGGGTCGCCGCCCGGTCTCGGCTCCGGCAGGGCGACAACAAGCCTAACTGCCGACTGCCCAGTACCAGCACTGAGGGAGGTGGACAACACCAGCGGCTCCACCGCCCATTTCTCCCCGACGGAACCCTTATGACGTGGGTCGGCCAGCCAGACCGCCAGCTTCCAATCGTCTGCCACCCAACCTCTCCTTCTCCAACGGCTTCAGAGTTTTACCTCCGTTTGCAGAGTTGCCCGGTGTCGGTGTGCTTATTCGTACAGCCGCTGCTCAGCCCAGAACCCAGAACCCCTGACGCGTCCCGCCTCTTGGCTCTCTGCAACCCTTCCGATTTCCCGTTCGCCAACACGAACCCTGTGAACCCTAAGATCTTGCAGTCGTCCCACCTCCAGACACCGTGGATGGTGATCCTACCTGTTCCACCCAGATTCCGACGGAACAGTCAAATCCGAGACCGTCTGACCAACCGGCTGGTTATCATGACGCAAATACTCAAGCACAACACATTTGGATGGTTCGTCTGTGTGAGACATATCTCACTTTAGTGAATCCTAGCGCTATGCTTTTCATGTTGGCGGAATCATTGCGGGGCAATGGTCTGTATGCAAAAATTTGGACATTATGTTGAACATGGACACCATCTTGGTGTACTAGCCGTCGTGTCACAGAATTCAGATCCATTCATCAACGACATATGTCCATGTTAACAACTAGCGCATATGCAAACCCTTGCAGGAATGCCCCATCGTGGATATGTGCAGACTTCCTCTGTGTACGATGGCCACTCACAATGCACTCCTCGGCCTCACATGGCCAAGCTTCGTCCGTCATGAGCTCCAGCACAGACGTTGCCAGCAGCCATGGCGCAGAGACCGTTCCCAAACTATTCACTCAACAAAACACACAAGAAAGGTCCGCTAGCGGATTGATCCGGTTGGCATTAAGCTTGATCTTCGACTAATATCAACGTCCTGTCACGTCGTGACAAACGGGTAGCGTCCGTCTACCTCAGTCCACGTGCGGCGCCGCACGGTTGGCACTATGCGCAACCCGACAGTGAGTCGACAATTCACATTTCGCAAACGCGGGGATCAAGGAGCAGAGCTTTTCATCTCTGCCCGGGGCTCACCTACAGCTCATCGGCGGCGTGCGGGCCCGGACCCCACGGGCCAGGACCCCAGATGCCACCGCTACCCCTGCGCTGCTCCAACCCCTTGTTGACAGCCTTGAGGTTGTTATAATCGGGGCCGTCCTCGCCCAACCCCCATGCGAACACACCGCCGAGCCGCATACGGTCAACGAGGTCGGGGAACTTGCGGAGGATTGCATCGCCGTTGTCGTACGTCCAGAATCGCTTCTCAGCCCTATCGAGATAGTAGTAGCCGCCGCCCTTCTCATCATACTTGCCGTCCTTCTGAGCCCGCTCAAAGGAGCCCTTCACATCGTCCGGAACTCCGTCATTCCAACTGAAGCCACCGGTCTGTCCGAGATCGCCGCCCGTAACGGGATCCTCCATCAACGGCGTCGGGCAGCCGACTTCCAGGCCATCGGGGCAGTCCGTGGTGTGGAACCACTTGGTGTAAAAGGCGAACCCGAGATTGATCTTGTGGGCGGGAACTCCACGGGTCATGTAGTTCTCGACGGCGATGCGGGACAGCTCCATACCGGTATGGTGCTTCGTGACGTTGTCTCGGCGGTTCATCATGTCGTAAGTCATGACGTTGACAAAATCAAGAGCGCGCTCGATCCGGGGAGTGTGCTCCTTGGTGAAGGCAATCATGTCGCGCTCAAGGCCGGGCGTGGCGGCCGAGATGAGCTTGCCTTTGGGGAGCTGTCTGCGGACCTCCTCGAGGAGCAACGGGTACGCATCGATCTCCCATTTCTTCTCCTCGTTGGTGATGTTCTTGTAGTCCTCGCCGTTGCCCCTGATACATATGTTAGAGGAGCAAGGCAGTTGATACAGACTTTCAACTTACCCAGGGTACTCCCAGTCCATGTCGATACCTACGATAGTTAGTACTCGATCATCATTCTCTGTCAGAGCGGATAAGGCCATACCATCGGCACCGGTAGCCTTGACCATGTCGGCAACGTTCTTGGCCCATTTCTCGCGAGACTCGGCGGTACGAGCAGCCGTGTCAAAGCCCTTGGTGTCGCTCCAGCCGCCAATGGCGACCATGACCTTGGTGCCGGGGCGGAACTGGGTGCGGACCTTTTCGACGGTAGTGAACAGCGGCCACTCAGCGACGTCCTTGTTGAAAGTGTCGGAGTTCATAAACGCAAGCTCCACGTGGGTAATGTGAGACACGAGCTCCTTGGAGGGCACGTTGGGGTGTTGGCTGCGGCTAGTCGTTAGCAATTTCACCGGTCGATGAATGCGGTCAAGGGAGGAGAGCAACAAACCCGGTAAGGTACATGACGCAGCGCAGATTGCCATTGCCGGCGTACAGCTCTTCCTCGGCGGACGCCATGGCTATGGACGCCTGTATGATCGTTAGGACACCGCCCAGGACCGTGGGGAGCAGCTTCATCGTGTAAGATGCTGCCAAAGACAGACGGGTTCTGGATATCTGTCTAGCTTCCGGTGGTGGTGTAGCGTGATCGGAATGCGTCGACGCGCTGTTCTTCCTTCACATAGGACGGAGGACTGTCTGTGAGTGGGTGTGTGTGTGTGAGCAAGAGGGAAAGAGCACAGAAATAAGAATTAAGAAAGAGAAAGGCAAAGTCGATGCGACAGCGGTGGTGTCTGTTCGTCCGTCCGTTCTTTCCGCCCTTCAATTCGATTCACTGGAGCTGCCTCCGACCGCCGCGGTGCGGGAGGAACACTTACCACAGCTGGGATCGACTTGGTGCAGGAACCCCGCTGTGGCGGATGCTCCCTTCAGTCCAGTGTGTTTCTGCGTTTCCTGCAGCTCGCTTTAGCACCTTCCCGGCCTGTAATTCGATGAGACGTTGGGGGAAAGACCCCGCATCAATTAACCTTAAGGCGACCCGGCATTCGACGACACTATCTTACCTTCTCAACTCTAGAAAGGTAGGAACTTACGTTCCGTCTTTTCTAATCATAAAGCTTTGGAAACATCTGAGAAACCGGTGGGAGGCTTTCCACGAGCTCATGAACAGCCACTGCTGCTAGGTAATGCCCTGGTCAAGGGTCAGTCCGAATGATTCGAAATGTCAACAGCAGCAGTTGATTTGCTGCGGGATCACAGTTTGGATTGTGGCTCACATTGGCGGCTGTGTCTTGCATCGTATTCACCAGAGCAAACTTATAGTATGGACGAACATGGGACCGAAATGTAGCATCATCGGTCTCGGGAAACATGCGCCGTATCCGAACTGGCTCTCAAAACTTCCTTTCTCGCCTGTGCCGTGTCTCCAAACATGCGAGCCAGGACCCTCCCAGTTGATCTGCAACCTCCCCCTGCATCCTGATTCGGCATCCCGGTGAGAGCTCAGGTGGGGCCGTTTCACCCCGGTGAACGCTCTCACCTTAAAAATTTCGTCCTGATCTGAGCTTCGGTCAGCTTTTTCCACACCTTGTCTTGGACCATTCCACCACTTGCAGTCAATTGTTTGTGTGCCCAGCATACCCATTGAGGCCGCAAACATGTTCGAAAACCTTTGCACCCTCCCTCTGTCGGCCGATGTCTTCACGCAGGCGCTCCACCCCACCGAGCCGCTGCTGACCGTCGGCCTCTCATCAGGCCATGTCGAGACCTTCCGCCTTCCGGCCCCGGTTGACAATGGCTCCGATGCATCTGGCGATGCTGATACCAGTATCTCTTCCACCGGTCGGGGCATGATTGAGAGTGCTTGGCGCACGAGGCGACACAAGGGGAGCTGTAGAGCCCTGGCATATGCCCATGATGGATCTGGTCAGTAGCTACTGGAGAACTGCTCCTTTCGCGATTCCTCAACTAACACATGGTCTTGATAGCCGTTTACTCCGCTGGAACCGACGGCCTGATCAAGCACTTCTCTCCCGAGACCGGCAAGGTCATCTCCAAGATCGTCATCCCCTCCTCGAACAAGCAGATCGATGCCCCGACCCTCATGCACGTCCTGAACCCCCAGAGTCTCCTGATCGGCTGCGACTCCGGCGCGATGCACATTTTCGACCTTCGCGACGGTGCCCCCGCGTCCAAGCCTGCTCAGACCAACTTCCCTCACTCCGACTACGTCTCCGCCGTCGTTCCCCTTCCCCCTTCCGCCGAGAGCACATCTGGTTTCCCGAAGCAATGGGTCTCGACTGGTGGCACCACCCTCGCCGTGACGGATGTCCGCAAGGGCGTTCTCGTTCGCTCCGACGACCAAGAGGACGAGCTGCTGTCAGCATGCTACGTCCCTGGTCTCGGGCCCAAGAACAACCGCAACAACGGCGTGGTGGCTGTCGGATCCGCCTCTGGCGTGGTTACGGTCTGGGACAGAGGTGCGTGGGATGACCAGCAGGAGCGCATCATCGTCGATGGTGGCAAGTCCGGGGGCGAGAGTCTGGACGCTCTGGCGTTGGTGCCTCAGGAGCTCGGTTTGGGTAAGAAACTGGTCGTCGGTCTCGGCGACGGCAGCTTGAGGGTGGTAGACCTGGTCACCCGGGACGTCGATCAGGTCGTCAATCTCCGCCACGACGACGTCGAGGGTGTCATCTCCGTCGCCTTCGACTCCGAGAACCGGCTGATCACGGCCGGCGGCAAGACTGTCAAGGTGTGGGAGGAGCTGTCGGAGCTTCAGGGAGAGGGCGACGACGAGGACGAGGACAGCGATGACGATAGCGACGACGAGGACGGAGCGACGGGCAAGCGACGTGCTGGCAGCGACAGTGACGATAGCGACAGCGACAGCGACGGTGGAAAGAGGCAGAGCAAGCGCCAGAACACGGGAGCGGCCGCCGCGGCTGCTAAGCTTGGCCCCATGGGTGCGCACGGCATTTTGGGATTTGATGGCTTGGATTAAATCGATATAAAATAATGATACCCCTCCTCCAGGGCCATCTAAATAGAGATAGGCAACCAATGGAACTGATTCAACTCTCGTTGTACAATTGTGGCGTTGCATGGAAAGAGAGGACTTGTAGGTCACATTTTGAGTTCCAGCGCACATCCACATTCCGGCCGATGTCGACTGCCGATCTTCGACGCCGGCCCCGGGGCTTGAGAAACCTCCGCAGCGGTCGGACCCCGCTCCCCGCCGATGACGACTCACTGGCAACTTATTAATGTCGTCTCGGCCTCAACTTGCAGCTCTGCACGCCATTCGTGACATGCTCTGATCGTGGCTTACACCCTGACTCGAACAAAGACATGGATCCAATCTCACCATTCGTCTTCGGCATCACTACGCCAAAGGTTTTCTTCGGGCCCGGCACGTTGAACGAGCTACCCGGCGAGCTCAAGTCTCGAAACCTCGCGAAGCCGCTCATCATATGCTCACCCTCTCGGACATCGCTCGCGACCAAGATACAAGCGAAGTTGTCGGAAGCCGGCATCACGGACAGTGAGATCCTCGACACCGCCATCGTCCACAACCCGAGCGACATCATCGAGCCCGCCGTGGACCGCGCCAAGGGCCGAGATGTCCTCATCTCCGTCGGAGGCGGGAGCGCCGTTGGCCTCGGGAAAGCCATCGCTTACCGCACGGGGATGCCGCAGGTTGCCATCCCGACGACCTACTCGGGCTCGGAGATGACGCCAATCATCGGAGAGACCAAGGACGGCAAGAAGACGTCGTACACGGATCCTAAGATCCTGCCCAAGGTGGTCATATACGACGTGGACCTGACAATGGACCTGCCGGTCAAAGTCAGCGGACCGAGTGGTCTCAATGCCATGGCACACTCATGTGAGTATTCAGATCTTCGATGTAGGTACATCGCTGACGAGACGCAGTCGAGGCACTCTACTCCCGTCAAGCCAGCCCAATCACGGATCATTTTGCCCTCGAGTCCATCAAGGCGTTGTCTAGCGCTCTTCCTGTGATTGCCTCGAACCCGTCGTCGGTGGAAGCCCGCACGTCGGCGCTGTACGGTGCATTCCTGGCCGGGTTCCTGGCCACGGCGACCGGCATCGCGCTCCAGCACAAGCTCGCCCACGCCGCGGGTGGCACTCTCAACCTGCCCCACGCCGAGACGCATTCGATTTTCCTCCCGCACAGCATGGCGTACAACGCGAGCTGCTTCTCTGAGAGCATCATCGCCAAGCTATCGTCGGCCCTTGCTCAGAGCACGGAGAGTTCTGCCGCCGGCGTTGTGCAAGGTTTGAACGAGCTGCTCCGCCTTCTGGATATTCCGACAGGGCTCAAGCACGTGGGTATGCTGGAGAAGGACATTGGCCGCGTCACGGACGTTGCGTCGGACACGCCTTACTGGAACCCGCGCCCGCTCGAGAAGGAAAAGATCCGGGAAATCATCCGGAGGGCGTGGGCGGGCGAGCAAGCCAAGACGGATCTCTAGATGATGAAATTTAGCCAAGTAGATTCCGCTCCATAATTTGATCAGACATGTAGATTTGTTGTCTTCCTGGGTTATGTCTCATTCTTATTGCAATGGCTGACTGTCCTTATCTTCTCCATTTTGGCTCCGTTGTCGAGTGGCATAATCACGGCGTCTTCACTTCCGGATCATAACTCTGTCTGCTTAGTTGCCTCGGTAATGTTGTTCGGTATATTCTCTTGCATCATCTCTACGCTCCCATGACTCAATACGTCTCCGTCTCTTCGGAGCTCTCATCCTCCACGAAGCTACTGTCGCCTTTTCTTCTAAATCGAGCCAGTTGTCCGGTGCAGAAATCGCTTGATGGATTCTTCCAATAATGAACTCTAATGCAATTATGTATATTGAAATCATGTCTAGTCTTTGTCTAGATGGTCGTCTTATGCACCGGGCCTCGAGTAGTCGAGCTGTCTAACTCTCTTCCATGTCTCCCTCACCACTCTCTCTTGTGCTTGTCGGGCGGTCTCGGTCTCAGTGGATGCTGCGGGACTGGTTTGAATTAGCCACAACCCTTCTCCTGTTTATTTGAGGCCAACTCACCGGATTGCTAGGTACGATCTGCCACCCAGCTTGACATCTGGAACGATGGAGGTATCTTCTGGTGGGTTAGCGATGGTCACGAGACCACCAGCCTCTTCGAGAATTGCGATTCCTGCAGCAACGTCCCTGGAGCAAAACTGTCAGCGCCGGCATTATAACGTCAACTTCCAAGGCCTTTGACATACCACTCCCAGCAACCGCCCTCCCACCAAATATCGAAAGATCCCATGGCAGTATAGGCGAGGTCCAAAGTGGCACTGTTCTCGTCAGCGTAAGGTCTCCATCCCGAGGACGCTGCAGCTCTCACCTTCCCAGACTCCTCATGCCGTGAACCATGCCGCCCTTGCCACCTCTTCCGCCCCTCTCGGCCGCCATGTTGACGAAGCTCTCGACCTTGCGGTGCATGTTCCCATCCGGCTTGTCGCGGCGGTCCTTGCCCCATTCACACGAAAACACGCAGCCGCTAGGCGCATTGGCTGGCAAGGGGCTCGGGACCAAGGGCAGCTTCTGGGTCTCGTTCATCCATGCGCCGTGGCCCTTGAGCGAGGAGAAGGTCTGGTTCAGGAAGGGCGCATTGATGACGCCGATGATGGGCTTCCCCTTCACGGCGAAGCCGATGGAGACGCAGAACATGGGGAACAGGTGGGTGAAGTTGACGGTGCCGTCGAGGGGGTCGACGATCCAGGTTGGGCTGTCGTCGACGAGGTAGTCGCGGGAGGAGCCGGCCGAGTATGTCTCTTCGCCAATGAACCTGCCAGATGTGTGAGAATCGTGGTGAGAGGCTGGCTGGCTGGCCATCATCACAAGTTGACTCACTTGTGGTTGGGATACTTGTTTGCGACCGATGTGTGGATGAAGGCTTCGACTTCTGCAGCGGCACCAATTCCGTCAGCAACTCATCGCAAGGACATGTTCATGAGCACTGGAGCCTCTGCGCACCTGTGTCGGTCTTGGTGACCAGGTCGACCGAGTTCTCCTTCTCGGTGAAGACCTGGGCATCGCCGCCGTCGAACCTCGACCGCGCCGCCGTCATGAGCATGGCGCCCGCATCTTTGCCCAATTGCACGGCAAAGCCGTAGATTTCGCGGAGTTCGGCGTCGCTGATGTCCGCCATTGTGTCGTTTCCAAGTAAAGCCGCCCTGAAGAATTGTCACAGTATTTGGCAAGTTGGGAAGAAAGGACAACGAGTCGCAGAAAGAGAGAGAGTACCTAAGGTCAGTTGAAACCTCAAGCCAGCAACCGTAAGCAGCACACCACTGGCAACGCGACGGCAGGCCATCAGTCAGAAATTGGGTGACTCGACAGCGTGCTGCAGGCTGGGCCGCCGCCAGCCGAGTGCTGGAGACCGCGGAAGCACAGCGGGATGACGTCCCGCGGTGTTATCACGTCGCCGTGGTCCCTATCAGCGGGGCATCCCCGCATCTGCCCCGCCTCACACTGGACCACCCAGTGAGTGAACGCCTGTGAGTGCTCTCCAACGGCTCCTTTTAGCGGGTAGCTTACCGAAGAGCCCCCAAAAGGCCCGGCAGCAACGCGCTGTGGACCTCTGAGTCAGGAGCTGTGTCGGAGACTTGGTCCCTGTCGCCGTCACCCCTCTCTCTCCACCGGGCTCTGCCCCTCTTCTCTCACATAAGGTACCTTACCTTACACCGGGCACACACCAAGACCTGGGGAAGAGGGAGGCCAAGCCACTCACCTCAGTACTCCAGGACGAACTGCAACCCCGAAGGAGCCGTGTGGGAGAGGCTGTTGACTTATGCCCGTTACGTGAGAGGCTCGAAATCCGGGGCAGCTCTAGTTTCCCCGCGGTTCGGTCCCTCACCAACACCTCCAGCCAAGCCAACTGTCTGCGATGCCGGCAGAGCATTCTTGACGAAACACGGATCAAGACTTATCCACTGACACGAATCAACTCATTTATCAATCACAATAGCCTCGCCGTCTGAAGTCGTGAAGCTTGCTCAATCAATTGTATCAACATCCATCAGTGCGAACAATCAAAGCCGTCCCCAGGTCCTACCTACATCTCCATCCTTCACAATGGCCAGCCGCATCCTCCTCATCAACGGTCCCAACCTGAACCTCCTGGGCACTCGTGAACCCGCCGTCTACGGCTCAACGACCCTCGCCGACGTCGTCTCCATGGCCGAGAAGCAGGCCTCTGACCTGGGCATCAAAGTCGAGAACTTCCAGTCCAACCACGAGGGCGCCATCGTCGACCGCATCCACGAGGCCAGGGGCAACATCGACGCCATCGTCATCAACCCCGGCGCCTACACACACACGAGCGTCGCCATCCGCGATGCCCTCCTCGGCGTCGACATCCCCTTCGTCGAGTGCCACATCTCCAACGTCCACACGAGGGAAGCCTTCAGACACCATAGCTACTTGAGCGACAAGGCGACCGCCGTCATCTGCGGGTTGGGCGTCTACGGGTACACGGCGGCCATCGAGTTTGCGGCGAAGCACATGAAGATTAAGCAGAAGGCTTGAATAGGATTAATTGATCCCCTCCTGTCCTCAAAAAGTAAAAGAATAAAACATGTAAATACTGTACAATCGCTGTTGCAATCTTATGCAAATGTGTATGTCATGACCATCATGTAAGGGACTCCAACTCTAAAGCGACGCCGTCACGGCCGTCGAAGGCTCTTCCACTCTTAGCTTCATATCCCTTACCAGCTTGCTCCAGGCCACGGCTCCTCTCTTGGCGAGCTCCTCGGGTACGTCATGGTCCTCCTCCGACATCCTCCTGTTGAACAGCTCGAAGCTGACCCAACCCTCGAAACCCAGGCCCTGGAAGATGGCCGCGCAGATCTCGCGGACGGGGAGATACGCTCCCCTTGAATACTCGCCGTAAAACAAACGGCAGTTTCTTGACCAGGACATGCGGGACGGCTGCTCGGCATTATAATAAGGGTGCGTCGGGCATAGCGGCTCGGCGAGGCGCTCGGCGTCGACGACCTGCACGTAGATGATCTTGGAGACGTCCACGGTCGTGAGGAGCCTCTGGATGGAGTCCTTGACCGCCTGCTCGGCGTCTTCTGTCCTGCCCGAGGCGGCGCAGGGGTCGGCAAAGATGCGGCCGGCAATGTTAAAGGTGTCGAGGCACATTCCGAAGTTGGGCCTGTCGACCCGCTGGATGACCTCCCAGCACGTCTCCCATACGTCGACTCTGGTGCCCCACGACAGGCTCTCATATGAGAAGCGGATGGGCGGGTTGGAGGCGGCACCGATGTCGGCAACCTCAGCGAGGTCCGCGATGTGAAGCTCGAGATCCTCAGAGACCTGTTCGGCGGGCAGGACGTTGCTGGGGATCTGGATGAGGTCGGTGTCCAGGACGTGGGCGAGCTGGATCCACACGCGCAGCTCCTCGACCCTGCGGGCGTGTTGTTCGCGGTCGACGAGGCCCTCAAAGTGCTGGAAGGGCTGGAGGCAGATGACCTCAATGTTGCGGACGTCGCACATCCTCTTGACAATCTTGGAGGCGGCGATCTGGTTCTCGAGGAGGGCGGCACCGCCAGGCAGCTGCTCGGCGACGTCCATGAGGTCCTCGTGCCAGAGCTCGATGCCTTGGTAGCCGTACTTTGCTGCCATGTCCATCTTGTGCTCAAAGGAGTGTCCAGCCCAGCATCGGCCGAGCGACATGGTGCTGATACCCAGGCGTGAAGGCATGGTGGGCGGAATATGTGATGTGTGGTGTGTAGGATGCTTTCGAGAGGATGATGAAAGAGGTTGGCTTCTGCGAGTACCTAGGTAGGCGGACGAGATAAGAAGTAGTATGTATGTAAGTGGGAGTCGACGGGGTAGGCAGGAGAGGGGGGTGGAGGGAAGTAGTCGAAGGGAAGCTCGCTCGTATGTGTTAGTCCTCGGCAGCAGGGGATCAGGGAAGATTATTTGCAGCTTGCAAATCGAATCATCGAGTAACGCACGACAGCAGCAGCCCGTGTGTTGCAGAACGACAGGAAGACTGTCCAATGGTCTCATACGGGCCCCTTCATCCCCGGATTGCACCGGGTATCCGAGTGGACTTGGGGCAGGAAAGTCATTCACCCGCCACCAGTACAAGGTACTTTGCGAATGCAGAGTACCCCATCTTATCAGCGCCATCGCATGCTTGCAGAGCACGGCGATCTGGAAACTCTGGGGGTGGCCGAAGGTAGCCGGTCCACTCTGGGGGCTGCTTTCCCATGTGCCAATGCACCCCGCGAGTGTGTGTGGTGTTGCAACTTGTAAGAGATGCGTGACGGCGCCCATCACCAAGACCGGTAGTTGGTGGTGTTGCGCTGCTTGGCAGCTGGTGACGACAGCTCGCCGAGTGCCGCCGGGCTGTCAGGCTAAACGCTTCCCCTGGCGGCCCGCCTCCACTTTTTCACCTCTTCACTCACTTTCTTCACTGAGAATGAAGGATAAACATTCTTCAGCTTCGCCACGGAAGGGTGGGCGGCCACCGAGCGAGCGAATGACCGCTTCCTCACTCACTCTCAATCGCTCGCTCCCTGGCGTCGTTTTCCCACGCTTCCGAGGCCCAGATTCTTCGGCACTTCTCACTGGCTCTCACTTCCTTCCTCACTCTCTCGCTCATTCGGGGTTTCTCCTCAGTAAGGTACCTAACGTGGTCGGTCTCTGGAGAGTTCTTTGCCGGAGCGTGGAGTGAGTGGAGGAACCACGCACACACAACAAGTCCCTCGTTGAAACTGCGAGTTTCCGATCCATGAATCCTTAGCCCTGATGGAGTTTTGAACCGCAGTCCGATCAACCCCATCCAGAGCCCCGGACTTTTCCCCGTGTCCCGCAAGAACAATTAATTATTATTGGACCTCATCACCTGGCCGGCAGAGAAAAGAGACGCAACCCAAGAACAAAAAGTGGCCTCCAGATCGTCTTCTCCAAATCTGAAGTTCTCATAATAGCCACTCAAAGAGTATCCGTTTCCAATTCCTTGCTTGACACATATTTCACATACAATTATCGCCATTTTCCTCGTCTTACACGGCCTGCCACTCAGTCACTCAGTCACTCAGACTTTCATCATCACAACATAACCAGAGATACCCCTTGTCTTTTTTTCTTCTTTAGTTCTCATCCACAACACACACACACACACAGCCAAAATGGCCAGCCCCGCCGTCACAGAAAAATTGGTGGACGACACCATCGCTACCAAGATTGAGCAGCTTGACCGCCACGGCTACCTCTTTGGCCAGAAGATCACACATTCCCTGTCACCACTCCTGCACAGCACCATCTACGAGGGAATCGGCCTGAAATGGGAGCAGATGCGTCTGGACTCGGCAGACCTGCCGCTGTTCCTCGAGCTCATCAAGCACCCCAAGTTCTACGGCAGCTCCGTCACCATGCCCAACAAGGTCGCCATCATCCCTCACCTCGACGAGCTGACGGATGAGTGCCGCGACGTCGGCGCCTGCAACACCCTCTTCATCCGCGAGCGCGACGGCAAGCGGATATACTGCGGCACCAACACCGATGTCATTGGCGTCCGCGAGTCCTTCGTCCAGAACGTCGCCGACCCGGATGCTGTCTACCACAACAAGCCCGCCCTGGTCATCGGCGGCGGCGGTGCTGCCCGCAGTGCCGTCTACGCACTGCGCAAGTGGATGAAGGCCACCGACATCTACCTCGTCAACCGTGACAAGGCTGAGGTCGACGCCGTTATCGCCGAGTGCACCACGCGGGGCTATGGAGACAACCTGTACCACGTCTCCACCGTCGAGGAGGCGAGGGAGCTTGACGCCCCCGGCGCTATCGTCTCCTGCATCCCCGACTTCCCTCCCAAGACCCCCGAGGAGATTGTCGCCCGCGAGGTTATCGTTGAATTCTTCAACAAGCCTACCAAGGGTGCCATCCTTGAGATGTGCTACAACCCCACCCCCTTTACTGAGATTGGTGCCCTGGCCGAAGACGCCGGCTGGCAGGTCATTCTCGGCACTGAGGCCATGATCTACCAAGGTCTCGAGCAGGTTAGTTGATCCCCATCTCTCATCTCCTAGTGAAGCTTACTGACTGCTGAACAGGACCGTTACTGGACCGGCAAGGAGGTTCAGGACCTTCCCGTACAAAAAGTCAAGGAAGTGATTGCCGCCAAGCTGGCGCAACACTCAAAACTGTAAAAAATAATGAAAAATTGAAACGACTTGCATAGATACATTCATAGCGACTGTTTTAACAAGACGAATTATGAGATTCCATCATTTGGCAATGACTCTATGTTTCCATGTTCATCTAAGTGTGATGGTCCATTGGTCATCTACATGACTGAAGATCCTTGGGTTTGTCCTTCCATATTTTCTAACCCAGGTGCCCAGCTTGTCAGGCCCTTTTATCCAGTCACCCAGTAATGATAAAGCCTTGAGTCTCCTTTGGGGTATCCGCTCGTGTCTCAAATGCTCATCTTATTCCTGCTGCTTGTAGATTTTATTCCATACATGCATTCACACGGGTGACGTCCGCTTGGTGATTGCAATTATGCATGTTGACCGAGGCTTCCTAAATGAGGATCACAGACAAGCCTTCTCATTCCATGTCAGTCATTGGAGCCGATGGAACCTTGCATATGTGAAAACATATTTATATAGCTGGAACTGAACAAACATCTCGACCTGCACACACGCATCAAAACTGATGCACTTCCTTACCAGAACGGTCCAGTAACATCACCAGGAATTACTTTTAACTCTGCTACCATGAGCCTCATGAGACGCAGTTCTTTCGCTTGCATCAACAGCTTAACATGATGAAGACTTCTCCGGCCATGAGCCCACTTCAAGACATAGACAGACGAGATTGCGATGTGATAGCTGTCCAACTGCAACGTATGCGGCTCCAGAAGCACCGATATCCTCAAATATTGGGGCGAGCTAGACGCTTTTGGAGTGCCGTCTTTCCGTGTTCTCACTGCAACCTGCAGATCAACGGAACATTCATCAGACGCGAGCAGTCCAAGAGAATGCAAAGTTGTGCATCAGATCAAAAACGGACAATTGAGCCTCATTTAATGCCGTGATGCGAGTTGTGCTGTGGTTGCGCGTGCGTTGCGGGCGTCTCATGCAAACTTCACACAAACCAAACGACGGAAATAAGACTCATTTCCACCTCATGCATTGCACTTTTTCAAACAATCCTGCATAATCTTGAATAACTCGGAGTCTGTCCGTCGATTGTTTGGGCCGGTCCCAGATTTCGTTTGGCTGGTGGTTGAGCGGGTGAATGTTTCCCACGCGCCCGGAAAAAGACTCAAGCGCCGCCTCACCTCGACGAAAATCGCACGGGAATCATACGGGATCGCACGACAAACTGTGGAAACTCTCCATCTCGCAGACGGGACGAAACTCGATAGATCTGTTATATAACGGGAGCAGGCTGGCATTTTCACATTTGCGGCTCTTGGATGCTGTTTTGCTTGAGCTGCGCCATCTGTACGTTTTGTTTGCTCTGTTTCGACGTCATCCTACATCCGGAGGATTCTTGCCACACCACCAAGATCACATTGACGGCGCCAGTGCTTGAGTCGGGTTATTTACCAATCAGGCTAGAGGTTCATCGACTTGGCGTCTTGGCTTGACCTCCTCGCTCTTGGCTGGAAGGACTCTCTGTATGATACGGACGGTTCAAATTGCGGTTGCTGGTCTGTTGAACTTTGTTCCAGGTATGTCCACATGACAAGATTGCACTCAGTGGACGTGGGAGATGCTGGGTAACTCCGCGTATCTTCTGGGATGCCATGTCTTGGGATGCCTGCGGAACAGCGGCGGATGGTCACTTGCACCATGTAATACGGGATATCTCTGTGGACACTTCATGTGTGCTTGCGGCGGCTGAGCCGCTGACAGTTGCTATTGACATGTACTCGCAGAGCATGTAATCCTGACGCTACATCTCGTCTTCCTCCAACACGGGTATGGGAGGGAAAAGACATAACCACCACGTACCTTGCCCCTGGTTGCGTTGAGCCCACTTCATGCATAGTGCCTCCCCCGGCCTTTGCCTCGCCACCACGCGTCGATAATCCTCCTCTACTTCGGGTATCACCTCCGTTCCGTTTACGCCTGTCGTTTACGTTCCTCGATTACGCCCATCGTCTACGTCTTTATCGTTTACGCCGTTTCCGTTACGCTTTACTTCTCGACCTATCGACTCGTGCGGACAGGGTGCAGTACGGTGCACATCACTCGGTTTTGCTCGATTTGGGTTAGAGAGGATTGTGAATTCCTTGAGATACTCGAAATCTTGGGAATATCCGCCTGCTACCCATTTAAACGCCCTTAATTCCGTATTAGTAAACCGTTGTCCCGAACCGTTAAACGCTGGCCTTTCGCTCTACCTGGCTGACTTCGCCCTCGTCCGACTTCTCGCCAAGAACAACGTCATCCGAGTCGTTCTGTCTAAAGCTCTGGTCCTCCGCCAACTCATCCATAATGGTCTTGTTTGCGCGCCACACGGGCTTGACCTTGAAGAGACGGTCCATAGTCTCCAGAGGGACAGCCTTGGTCTCGGGCACGAGGAAGAACACAAAGACGGCGGACATGATCATGAGAGAGGCGAAGAAGAAGTACACTCCGTAACCCCAGGCGTCGAACATCTGGGGGGTGAAGCGAGAAATGATGAAGTTCCAGAACCAGTTGTTGGCGGCAGCGCTAGCCTGGCCAAGAGATCTACAGGTATGGTTAGCTCACGTGTTCGTTTACTGACTCGTTTCTCTCCACACGTACCTAGTGTTCTGGTCGAACATCTCGGAGTTGATGACCCAGGGGGTACCGTTCCACGAAGGAGTGTAGAACACCGTCCACAGGTAGAAGAAGACCATGGCAGAAATGCCTCCGCCGGAAAGACCGCCGGTGCCACTGGCAGGGTTGAGAGCGAGGTAACCTCCAATGTACCACATGCAGAGCGATCCACCGATGGCACCAATCATGAGGAGGTTACGGCGACCAAGCTGGTCAATGAGCCAAAGAATCCACACGAAAGTCACAATGGTCTTGACGACGCCAAAGATACCAGTGGTGAGGAAACTGGTGTTGGTGCCGGTGATACCGATGCTCTTGAAAACGGTCGGGCTGTAGTAGTTGATGGCGTTGATGCCGGAACCGTTTTGCCAGAGGAAAAGCTTCTCGGGGTTAGCAACGAGTGTTGGTAATCTGAAAGGAGTGCGCTCACCATGCCACCAAGGAAGAAGCGCCACTGGACCTTGCTCTGCTTGAGAGCGGCAAAGGGCTTCCAGAATCCGGCGCCAACTTCGGTCCTGTATCTCTCGAGGTCGGCATCGATGTAGTTGACCTCCTCGATGATGTACTTGTCGCTGGCATCCAGGTTTCTGTGAAAATTTGATGATTAGCTCACATCCAATCCATCACCCAGAAAATGTTGTTCGCTCAAAACTCACCTCATCCAGCAAAGATGCTTCATTGCCTCCTCTCTCCTGTACTTGGAGAACAACCAACGAGGAGACTCAGGAAGCCAGAAGGCTCCGACAAGCAGCAGACCAGCAGGAATCAGCTGAACGGCAAAGGGAATGAGCCATTGGGAGTGGCTGGGGGCCATGGTAGAGTCGACACCGTAGTTGATCCAGAAACCAACAAGGCCACCAATTTGCCAGCCCAACTCGTAGATGCCGACGAGGCGACCGCGAACGGCAGGCGGGGAAAGTTCGGAAATGTAGATGGGGGTCATGTTGGAGCAGCCACCCACACCGATACCAGCGAGGACTCTGCCGGCGAGGATGAGACTGAGGCCGCGCTCCCTGTTGGCGCCGAGCATCATACCGGCACCGAGCATGAAGACGAGACTGAAAGCGATCAAACTCTTCTTGCGGCCGAGGAAGTAACTGCTGACGTAGGCGAACAAGGAGCCGAAGAAGGCACCGGCCTGGTAGACAGACACGATGTTGGACTTCAACAGAGCCAATCCGCTCTTGCTGTAGGACGCGAACTGGAACTCCTCGGTGAAGGACTGCAGGGCGAGAGTGGTTCCGATGAAGGCAGAGTCGTAGCCAATGGTGCAACTGGCGAACGACGCGATGATGGCGCACATGTAGACGCGCCAGTTGTAGACGGCCTTGGGCGTCGGCCGATCCTCAACGAGGGTGAGAAGAGCCATGGTGACTGATGGTCGTGCGTGCTGCTGCTTTACTCCGTCTTCAGATGATGTTGTCTGGTTGCTTGGGCCTTGAGACAGTCTGAACTCCAAAGCACGGTTGGGGTAGAGAAGTCTTAAGGGGATGAGGAGGCCAGAACCAGATGGTGGTCAAGGGTCGCCTTTGTTATATGTATGGTTCGTTCCTCTGCGTTGGTAAAGAGTGACAGGTGTGTGGCGTGTCGGTTCGTCTGGGGAAAAAGTCTGGGGCTGCTTCGATGCGGAGTTTGTTCATCCCACGGAACGCACAGCAAACACGGGGAGGCCAATGGGATCCGGGGTAATAGGCTCTGACGACGCCTTCGCGTATGAGATTCCAGATGGTTGACTCTGGGGTGAACGCTTCTCCCTGAGCTAAGGAGTCACGCTTCCTGTTTTTGCGTGTGGCTCCGAACCGGAGCAGAATCTGCACCTGGGCGACTGACTCGTCGCCACGGCGCGTGGAGAACGGCAAAGGATTTGTTCTCCGCACTGATCCACGGCACTAATCTCTGTTTCCGGGCTAGATCCAACTTCGGGGCCCCCAAAATGCTGGAGAACCCCTGCCCAGACCGGGGCTAAGGGTTGAATGTTTATCCTGTGAGCGGCGACGCATTGCCATTCAACTGTCTCACATTGCACGTGGAACTTGGGGACCTCCCAACTTGTTGATTTCCAGCCGTCCGGATTGTCAGCAATGCGGGCAAAGGGGTAGCGACCCCAGACTGCTGCTACCTGCCAGACGTGCCTTGCCCATGGGGTCACGGAGTCAACAAGACAGGGGTTGTTGGCCGCTGGTGCGAGCTGAGGGGAGTTGAGTATATCCGGCCAACGCCTACAAACCAAGATGGCTGCGGCGCTCTCAACATTGGCAAAAGACCGGCGAGAATTCCGGACTCCATCACTCGATTGCTAACGAGTTAGCAATGTTCTGGCCAAGCCTCTTTGACGAGGCCATCGTGGAGTCCACTTTAGTCGGATCGAAAGGGGCTCTCCTGATACGGTGGTTGTAAGCGCACAAAGCGGCGAACAACATCACGCTGAAAGTTTGGTCATGTACGAGAGGAAGTTTTATTCTCCTATCTTCATCCATGAATGTCTTTCTGTCTGAACCGTTCTGTCGGGACGTGACAGTCGCTAGAGTAGTAGTGACCACTGAGCCGGTGTCATCAGAATTGTCCCTGTTTGGTAGCGCACATTACTTGGTACATTACACTACTGTGCACAATCTATGACACGTGCTTCATCAGCAAGCCCAAATCTCGATAGATTGACTGCCGAGACATCAGACTCTTAAGCTCCTGGTGATTGTACTTCCGCCCATCCTGCGCATATTGCTCTTCCGCGGGCTTGGTTCGCAAACAGATCCCGAAGACACTAACATTGCAGCGGCCGCAGCTGGGCCAGAAAAATGCCAGAACAGAGATAAGCCTGCTGCAGATTCTCCAGAAAACAGTACGAAAAGGGCTAGCAAGTCCGTTCTTCTCAAATCACTGCCCTTGGACAGGGTGAACACATGTCAATCACCAGGGGCTTTTCACACCGATGGACGTGCATGACAGGGGACAGTCAAACAATAGCACAGGTTACGGCGAGGATAGTTCCAGATGTGTGTGATAAGTATTGGGTTCGTTTTCTACTAAAAAGTCATAATACATTACTCTTCTCACATCCCCCCAAATTCTCCCCGCAGCATGTCTGTCAAGTCTGAGCCTGGGGCGAAGCCGAGATTGGCCATGAACTGCGGGTCGGCCTCCATGCTATCTGTGCAGTCTATAGATGCCAACTCGTCCATAATGGCGTCGTAATCCACGCCGTGGGGTCCTTGTCCCATCAGATATGGTGTTTGAGCCGAAGGCAGATGCCCCATAAATCCTGGGGGAAATGCATCCAGCTGACTTCCTGGGGTAAATGGCATTGTTCGCGCCGTCGAAGGACTAGCTGACGAAGCAGTTGGTAGAAACCCGTTGCCATTTTGGTGGTATGAATCCGTGTTCATTGGAAATTGAGGATAGTGTGGATTTTGTCGGGCGGCGGGCTGTGAGAAATGAGGAGCCGACTGTTCGGCCTGGATAGGTGTTTTGCCGCCAGGCTCAGCGTCTAACACGGAGGAATCTGCGTTGGTCGTCCGGTCTTGCCAAACAGATATCAAATCTCCCATCAGAGTATTCCATCTGGCTTTGTCATCGTCTCGCAGAGCTTTCACGCAACTCTTGGTATTAGCGATGCTCATGTAAGTGACAAGAAGCGGCGACACGCCGGCTGCGCCAAACTGGGCAATGGAATTTTCCAAAACCTCCATCAGACTCCAAATAAGCGAGACCCGGGCGTCGGGCATCAGTGTCAGCGTGGCACCGAGGAAAGTGGCCTGTATCAAAAAGGCGGACGGCAGTTTGGGTATCGTTGACGCTCCAAAAACAACAGAGTTGCAAAATGAGAACCGGGGGTCAAGCACCTGCACCAGGTTCGCAGCACCTATCTGCGGTGTTGCAGTTCCTGACTCAACGCTCTGATTTAGGGTCCGGAAGAACTGATAAAGCTGGTTGAAAGAACTCAGCGACTGGGCAGCGTGCACAGCGCCGTCAACCTCCTCGGATCCGAATCCAGTCCGTGGCACCCAAGGAGCCCATTCTTCCGGCCCGTTTTCATCCGTTGGCTTGTCTTTCATATCGCTCGTCCTCATGTGTGGTGTTTGGCCGAGTCCCAGAGATACTATGGTGTCAAGCATGAGACATGCCATCATTACTCGATCCAGCGCCGTTGAGTTTGCTTCTGGTGTCAAAGGTGCCGTCTGACCAGATATAGAGTTGCGGCCCCTATTCCTTGACCTGCCGTCCGTGAGTGCCATAGCACCGCGAACAGCGAGACCAATAAGCAATGAGGCAGCACCTGCATTGTCTTGACCCAACTTTACCAGAGACAACACCAGTAGAGCTTTGACATGACCTAGTCCCATGTCTGTTTCCACAGGTATCAAGCCTCGTGCAGCTGCAAATATAAGGCTTGGACGGTCTGATGGCTCAGCCCGTCCGGAAGTATTGGATGATGTCGCATCCTGGAAGGCCCCAACAGCAAGGGCGCACCATAATTCGGCGTGAGCCGCGCTGGCGCCGGAGTCTTCTGGGTCGATATCAAAACCATCGGGTGGATAAGAGGCTGCAACATTATCGAGGACTTCTTTGGAGTTTAGTATTGGAAGCCAACTGTGGGTATAAGAATAGTAAACTTCTAGCAGCCTCGGAAAGTTTCTTGGGAGTTTGAATCTTCGCCGAGATATAGAACCGTGTCGATGTCTTGGGCCCGGTTCGCCCGGAGTCGCGTCCGATGCCCGTTCGGGTCCGTTTGTTTTTGGAGACACAGCAGTACCTTCTTGCGGAGTGGCGTCTTTCTGTTTGTTGCGGCCGTCTGCATCCGCATCCGATTCGTCTCCCGAGGTGTCTTGGCGCGGGCTTACACCGTCCTTGCCGGATAGGAGTCGGTCGATGTCTTTATGAACTCGACACCTTCTCCATCTCTTGTGAAGACGGTTACCGGCTTCGTTGTCTTTGTCTAATAGCAGAGCTTGCCCGCTATCGCCTTCGCGGGCGAGCAACTCTGAGAGCTTCTCTTCAGTGCCAGGAACCTGGTCGAACAGCCAGACAAGGGCGAGCTCTAATGTTCGAATAAGACCGGTCTGTACGCCGCGCTTCTTCGGAGCGACGTTGTACGTGCATTGCCTCGATAGCGTTACGCAGGAGAAGCATTGTGGTTGAACGCCGTCACACTTCTCTCGAGCACTGCAAGTCAGTTAGCATTGAAGCCAGCGCAAACCAAAGACCAAATCAGACAAAACTCGGAACCGTCGTTGAAGGAAAACAAAGCTAGACAGTCCCCAGAAACGTCGCAACACCCTGGAAATGAAGCTGCTGACGACGCAAGGATTGACTCGGGCCAATGATGAGGCTCTTCGAGCCTGGATCACCAAACATCCTCAAGCATGCGAGGACGGCTCCCTTGCAGGAAGCTTCCGATGTTGAAGGCGAACAGATGATGGAAATCAGACGGAAAGAAGAAGAAACTGAAAACAAGGACGGATGCGAGATTGCTTGCCTTCTACACTGGTCGCACGCTCGAGAAACTCGCTGGCGCTTCGGGGCCGACGTCGAGGTAGCATTGGTCTCGGCATCGTGAACCTTTCTCTTGGAGGGCATCCTGCAATTGATGCCTCGGGCGGCAGAGCAGCTCCTGTGGCTCACGCCGTTGTGGACAGCATGAGGGCGTGTGCAACGAGAGCGAGAGCGTCGGCGAGAGCTGCGAGGAAGGGTAAGGGCGCGCTGCGGATGATGGTTGAAGCGAGAGTTGTGGCGGATGGATCGCGACGGGATGTTGCAGGGGGAGTGACGATGGGTAGCAGCGGCAAGCAACAGAGCAGCAGCAGCACAGCAATAGCGACAGCAACAGCAGCAGCAGCAGCAAGCAGTCAACAGGCAGAGGAGCGACAGCGGCGATGATTGACGTCTTTGCTTCTCCAAGATTTCCCGCGCAACTCGCTGGAGGTGGGGAAATCCTGGGGTAACCTCACGTCGGACAGTCGCGGCGCCGCCTCAAAGGTTGTTTGCTCGATCTGATCTTTGGGCGGCGAGGACAAAGGTCAGCTGGAATCCCAGTGGCATTAATTGGCCGCAGAAGGCCGTGTACGGATGACTCGGTTTGCGGGGTGTTAGTGCGCTACTTTTGGTGTTGCGAACATGCACAGACTGCTCTCCAGACTCTTCACACAGACAGACCCTTGTCGATGGAGGCGTCTCTGGGGCACCAACCGCATACAGCTGGGGTTTGTCTGCCATGAACAAGGTTGTTTTGCCTGCATCGTGGGCTCTCAGTGGTCTAGACACTTCAACGTTGAACCGAGCAACAGTTATGACTTCCCTGAGTTGAGTTGTCAAACCAAGGGGCGGAACAGCGACGGCGGATTCGGAACACGAGACATGCTCGGTGGAGAATGTCCCTTGCTAACAGAAAAGCCAGGGGTAAGTGTTTATCAGAGTACCGACGCCAAGTTGCAGCTAAGGGAGAGGGGCATCAGCGCAGCACCGACCGTCGGAAATGGGGTGCGGATTCCATGTGTCCTCCCACCTGACAATTCTGTGCCCGCCTTAGTAGGCATTGGACGCGACTCGACGGGACCGACTTGACTGACTCCTCCTGACTGAGAGACGGACAGACAGAGAGAGAGCTTGACCTTGTTAGACCACCCGGTTAGGCGGCGCTGGACGAAACCTGTTGGCCCAGACAGACTCAATCACCTGCGCGCCCTCTCTCTCAACTTGACACTGCCTTTCCTTGCCTTATGCGCTTGCATCCTGGGCTCTCTCACCAACCCAGCTTGCGACTGCTGCAACGGCCAGGTCGAGGTCGAGGCTGAGGAGCTATGGCGACAGCAGGCGTGAAGCGGTCCTTCGTGGCCACGGCCATTGACGACGAGGACGCCGAACACCACCACCAACTGGAGAATCCCTCAAAGTTCATTCGCGTCGACACTCGCAATGGCTACAGTACAACACCGAGAGAGCCTCAGAGCCCGAGGACGAACAGCAGCAGGTACTCCATGGCTGCGTGCTCCAGACCCGAGACGCCAATAACGAGGCCTGCGACGCCAGTCACCCACCTGCCGAACGAGATACCCCCATTCCCTGCCGACGCCTCCATTGTCCTTGCTGGCATCCGAGGCGCCGGCAAGTCGACACTCGCCATCATCGCCTCGACGGCCATGGCGCGGAGGGCGCTCGACTGCGAGAAGGCCTTCCAACAGGTCACCGGCCTGACCAGCTTTGCATATAAACGGGCCCATGGCCCCGCAGAATGTCACCGTCGACAGACGGACGTTCTCCGCGACCTCCTCGACCAGAACTCAAAAGGCTGCTTGATTGTCTGCAGCTGGATGGAGCGCTCTGTGCAGACTCTGCTACGAGACTTTTGCCGTACACACCCTGTCGTCCACATCGTTCGCGATGTCAAGGCCATTCAAGAACACCTCAAGATCGAAGACGAAGACAAGGCAAGAAATCTTCTTGCCGCGAGCAGTACCATTTTCCGGACTTGCAGCAATCTCGAGTTCTTCAATGTCTCTGAGACGGCAGATCCTGCGGCCGAGACTGATGCGGCGAGGATAGAAGCTCACGCTGGCGGTCAGAAGCCACCCGCACCGTATCTTACCCTGAAGCGGGCGGAGAGGCACTTCCTCAAATTCCTCAGCTTGATCATGCCCAAAGGCTCTATCCCCTTCATTGAATCTGCCTTCCCCTTGGCGTCTATTCCGACTGAAGACCGTCGGTTCACCTATGCCATTTCAGTATCATTGTCGAGCCTTCTCAACAATGAGATCACCGTCGAGGAGCTGGAAACAGGTGCTGACGCCATCGAGATCGTCGTCGATGGCCTCGCGGGTGCAACGGCGTTGGATTCTGAACGAGCTGCAGATATTGCAAGGATCATTGGGTCGATCAGAAGGAGCACCGTCATTCCGCTCATCTACCATGTCGTTCTCCCGGACACAACAGAGTCGGTGTACATGGACTACATCTTACATGGTCTCCGACTTACACCTGAATACCTCACCGTCGACTTACGCTTGAACGATTACCAATTACTACACATCATCTCAATGAAGAGGCGGTCAAAGATCATTGGTCATCTAACTCCTGCCGTCGACTCTCCCTCATGGGCAGATCCGTTCTGGATGTCACATTACCACAGAGCTCGCCGAATAGGCTGCGATCTTGTCCGACTTATCAAGCCTGTCACCTCGATAAAGGACAACTTTGATGTGAATCATCTCAAGGCTCTGGTCGACGCCACGACTGGCCACAAGATCCCTCTCATTGCCTACAACTCCGGCCCTCGTGGCAGGCATTCGGCTGCCATGAACCATGTCCTCACGAGCGTCGTGCCAGAAGCAATGGCGTCAAAGTACAGCCCCGATCAGCCTTGTTTGACGGCTGTACAGGCAACGCAAGCGCTGTACAACTCATTCCTATTCGACCCCATGAAGATTTATGTCTTCGGTGCCCATGTCTCCTACAGTTTGTCGCCAGCTATGCATAATGCCGCCCTCAAGGCATGTGGCATCCCACATGTCTACCGCCCCTTCTCCACACCATCACTGAATGGCCTCAAAGACCTCATCGAAGATCCCTACTTCGCTGGCGCCAGTGTGGGCTTGCCGTTCAAAGTAGAAATCATCACTCTCACCCATTCGCTGAGTCGACACGCCCAGGCCATCGGTGCAGTAAACACTCTCGTGCCTGTTCGTCGACTGAACCCCGACGGCACCATTCCAGAAGATGAAAAACTCTTCAACTGCAGAAATCGAGCTGGGCCGGTACGCGCACTTTACGGAGAGAACACAGATTGGATCGGTATCCGGGCTTGCCTGAGGAGGGGACTTTCGCCTGCCAATGCGGTGCGTCCGACAAGTTGCGGTCTCATTATCGGCGCAGGCGGTATGGCTCGTGCTGCAACTTACAGCATGTTGCAACTTGGCGTGAAGAACATCGTGGTTTACAACCGCACGGTCTCGAACGCGGAAAAGATGGTCAATCACTTCACGAGACTACTAAAGAGACACGACCTACCGCTCTTGAGCGCGAACACGGACGCGGAAACAAGATTCCATATCATTAGGACCCTGGACGAGGCGTGGCCGGAAGACTTTCGGCCGCCGACCATGATCGTCTCCTGTATCCCAACGCACAGCATCGGCGACGTACCAGCTCCCAACTTCGTGGCGCCACAAGCCTGGCTAAGCAGTCCAACCGGTGGCTGTCTCGTTGAGCTGGGATACAAGACGCTTGATACCCCAATACTCAACCAAGCGCGCCAGGTCTCTCACCGGGGTTGGGTCACTATGGACGGTCTGGACCTACTTCCGGAGCAGGGCTTCGCCCAGTTCGAGCTCTTTACAGGGAGGCGAGCACCGCGCAGACTTATGCGTGGAGAGGTCTTCCGATCTTACGAGCCTGACGGACAAGATCGTTCAGCCCTTGCACAACTTGGGCCACGTCTCAACAACATTGTCGAGCAAGAGCCATGATCATTTAATGGGTGTTATGAGATAGGAAGGTCACGACGCGGGATAGGCTTTGCATTTAATGTCCGCCCAGATACCACTACGTACACGAGTAATAAAACAGTAAAATATTCATCATCATAATAGGCTACCCCGGGCAAGCCAAGCCACAGCCGTGCCCTACGAACGCCCTGATCGCCCAAGTCGGTAAACAGCCGGGTAATGCACTAGTGCTTCTTTTAGTATCTCGAATATGTCCTTCCTGTCTCAGTTCCCTGACTTGACATGTATGCGGCAAAGTCCGTGTTGACGTATGGAGACGCCGGCACCTCATTGACATGACCTTCAGCTTCTTTCGAGTCGTCAAAGACCGGCCGTCTTTGTCGAAGAGCCTCTTTTCCAACCCAGCTGAGGTAAACCGTTTCGTGGACTTGGATTAGATCGGCCCCTGTATGGCCAGCTTCGGAGCTCCGGCTGCTGCCATCAGCTGCCTCGAACTCCGGCTTCTTCTCTACCACAAAGACACGGTGATCTTTCTTCTCAATGTAACGGGCCACCAAGATGAAGCCGATGAACCAGGCAACGCCAAGACTGATGATTATCCACCCAACGGTGGGCACAAGCCACCATGGCGTCACGGTCAGGTCTGAGTACTGTGACGGCGGTACCCAGTTGGTGATCACGGGATAGAGACCTCCACACATGTATACAATGGCACAGAAGACTGATAAAAAGGGACGGAACTTCTTGCCAGCCATTTCAGCCCAAGTTGTCGGGGACTTAGATGGGTCATCGTCGGTGGCATCATCGTCAGTAGCTGTCGTAGGAGGGCCGCGGAAGCGTAGGATGAGAATGCCGAGACCCAGGAATGTTCCAATGAATGCGTTAACCACATAAGCACTTAGAGACGTGAGTGCTGTGTATGCCACTACAGGTGGCCTGCCGTAGGTTGCAAATATGAGGATGACGCAGCTGACGAGGTGAAGAACCAAAGCACCAACTGGTGTCTTTTCAGAATGATGCTCCGGCGACATCCAACGCAGTTTAAGGAGTGATTTGAACCATCCTTTCCTTTGAAACCAGAACAAGAGTCTCCCAAGGCTCATGTCCTTGTTTTGCGCGAAGAACTTCGGGAAAGGAAGGATTCCCTGTATGGACAGTCAGTGCCTTGTCCAGGTTTCGGATACAAAAAAAGGGGGTGAGCAGAGTGACCAAAAACAACCAAGGGGCAGAAAAGACTCCATGTGAAGAGCCTGAACTATTCAGATGATTGTGACAATGGAGAACACACACAGGCGTCATCTGTGTGGAGGAAATCTTCTCACCTCTTTCGCAATCTCTTGCTTCACTCTAGCTGCCGTATAGGTCTGGTATGATGTCAGTTCCCACAGTGGTGGTTTTCAGTTCTTTAGCCATGACATACCATGACGATGATATTGCCCATGGAAGAGATCGCCAGGAAAGCATTGAAGATCCGCGACCCAATATCGCTGTCTGGGTTCAATTGGCCGAAGGTGAGCCTGAAGAACTCTTGGGCAACATTGGCCTCATTCTTCTGAACATCGGCAGGCACAACGACCATCTGATTTTCTGTAAGTCACTCCAAGAAGCTACATTGTTTGGAGGCACTTACATAGCAGATGTTGACAGCCAGGTATAAAACAGCAACGAGTCCTACACCACTCGCCATCCCGATAGGAAACTTCTTTCGAGGACGGCTGATCTCTCCTAGGACATAGTTTGGCTGCTCGAATCCCGAAAATGTGAAAATGATGGCAAGAAATGCCTGAGCGTATCCGTTCGCGTCTTTAGTTGCGCCCGCGAACGAAGTCTTTGGCGACGTATTTTGCTCGATTACGTTTTGTGTTTTGGGAAGCCCGCCCGCACCCACCACGACGGCCGCGACGATGATCAGTAGCATGATCATGATCTTGATTACCGCCAGGAAGTTGTTCAGCATGATTCCGAATCTTCTGCTTGTGGCATGGATGAAGCAGGCGAAGACGGCAACGGCGAGAGCGATGCCCCGGACGGGGCCGTTCTCAGGATCTGAGTGACCAGCGGCCTCAAGGACTCGAAAGGCGAAGTGAAGACTGTTGCCGGCCATGTTTCCGAGTACGATGAACGTGATGCCAAAGATGCAAGTCGACAGTAGGATAGTGTTTTTGCGATAGGCGGGCTTCGAGAAGACATATTGCAGGTACACCATGTCTCCGCCTATGGAGATCGGTTAGCATTGATGCTAGGCCTGAAGCTGCAATTATTCTTACCACTTCGAGGGATGGACTGCTCAACTCCTTGAACTCTATAACGAGGGACGTTGAGGCCATACTCGATGTAGACGTGGGTACCGCAAAGGCAGTAGACTACACCAGCTAGCCAGAACAATAAGGTCGCGCCAACACTTCCAGTACCTTTCATGACTCTTTTCGGAGACATGAATATTCCCGTGCCTGTATTACGGCATTAACAGATGTCCCCTAAGCGACAGAGACATTTTGACGCACCTATCATGCGGTTGATGACCAGACAGCATACATCAAGGTATCCAAGGCGAAATCCTTCCTTGGGTGCGTGGGTGACGATGCCTTGACCATCCCCGCCAGTGATACCCGTTATTACCCCAGCAGCATCATCTTCGCTCGAGTTGTCGTCGATGTGACGAGGCTCCTGGAAGATGCCCTCTGAGCTTTGGAAGTCATTCATCTTCGAGAGTCTGGCAAGCCAACAAGGCGACTCAGAGATATCGGAGACTCGCAGCAGCTCCAAGATGGGGGAGTCTCGAGGTCTGCGCCATAATGGTACATGGCAAAGCAGGCTACAAGGGGTGGCTCCGATGTTAAGTATGGCCTATCTCTATCTACGAAAGCCTGTGTGACGAGCTGGCATGCAGGTCAGGCGTGACCAGGGAGCAGCTCGATGGCTGGGTCGCGCACCAAGAGCAAGCAGAATGGCACTGAAGGCAGGGCAGACTCGGCCAAGGATGTGGCAGCCGCATGCATGCATGCCCAGGAAAGCCGCTACATCAGGAAGGGCGTTCAAAGAGTCACTCAGTCCCCGGCAGCCTCGTCTTGAAATCTGCCTCGCGGAGTGAAAATTGCCCGATTATGCTGCATGGGAAAAGGGCAGTCTAGGTGCGCTTGGTGCGGGAACATGTTTGCGCGCTTTTTTGGATTCAAACCGCGCTACCGAGGCTCTAGTTTCGGTAAGCAGATGCAGAGCTGAGCTCGATCTGTTGATGGTCTGGCAGGGTCTCAGTGAACGAGAAGTTGATAGGCCTGCCGAAGCGAGCGCGAATAGGAAGAAGCACCGGTAGACTGGTGGTGACACCCCGTCCGTATCCTACCCCAGGTTGGAGCGTGAGAGCGGAATTGAGGGGAGAGCTCTGGCAGCTCACTGCCACCGCCACCAGCTCTTTCGTGACCGAGTTGAGTGCAGATCGGCGAACCCTTGGCAATATGCAGATACAACCTTGTATGCGCTGCTTCTAAGAAGACATATGTATCAACACAGCTTACGAAGCGCTTGTCCCCGCTCTGTGCTCTGTTCAATGCCATCATGTTGCCGTCTACAATTCGTTCGGTTTACGCGATTGTTCATCTGTTTTGACATCTACCCATAATCACTTTTGCGGAAGTTGTCATTCGTCAACATTTGCATACAAGAAGACTTAGCCCGTGGAAGGCAAGTTTGCAACCCTTGTACATATTGAGTTAAAGCAAATAGCCCTGTATCGCGTCAATTCGTCCTGAATATTAGGTATGACACAAGCTCATCCTGTCTCTGTACCTTATCTCAAGCTAGCAATCTTACGCCGCACACTCGCATACCACGGGAAAGGAGGGTGACGAGCTATCAACGCAGGTCAGATTGGATTGGATGCCTTCGTAAGGGTGTCTCGGGTAACTGAGACCGCGTGACAATCTACTAGCTACCCTTCACTGATTGAGCGCTAAGAGAACGCTTGTCTTCATCCCTGGCTGCCTTATGAGCAGGCGCCCAAAGCTGCGCTGGCAACTTGGTTCGCTCAAGCTGGAATTTAAGCGCATTTACAGCTTCAACCAACTCAACATGTTCTCGGGCGAAACTCATGAAGTCCCCCAAACCACCCTCTTCGCAAAGGCAGAGAACCTCGGCTTGCCAAGCCAGGAAGACAACCTCTAAACCTGGCGCTCACTACCGGGGACCGCTCAGAATGGTGCCCTCTGCCGCTTGACCTCCCACCAAGTTTGCAATCAAGCAAGCCAAGCCGGGCGTGATAGGTCGCTGAAGGAGACGCAGCCAGCCAGCAGGAGATGTCTCGTTCCCCTGCTGCTGCTGCTGCCTGCATTGCTTTCCACACCATTCCGTCTCTCGGTATCAAATTCGAACTGTCCAGCCCGCCAGACACACTCGAGTTCCGTCCAAGTGGGCAAGCAAACAAGATGACCCAATCCTCCAGCCTCACTCTCATCTCGTTCCTTCCCCCCTCCCATCTCATTCGGTGACCCAGCCAGAGTTCTTAACCCCCTCGTCCAGTCCCGAGAACCAATTCCTGGTCGCAAACTGCCAACATTGTATCCCTCGTGGCGGCCACACCCACCGTTTTGTCGCATAGCCCCAGCGAACCGGTGGCGCCCCTCGAGGTCTGGTCGTGTGCTCCCGCCCTGGGGCCAGGCTGTCATTCAAAAATCCCACGTTGTCTCCCGATCTGCTTTGCGACCGTTGACGCGGAGTCCACTTTTGAGGTTTCTATTTGTCGTCGCTTTCAACTTTGCTCACGCCCTGTTGACAACATCGCACGTCAAATGCCAATCTCAATAAGGCGTGTTAAACAGACTGATTTCATCATCTCTTTCCTGACTCTCCCCCAATGGCAGGGCCTCTTCAGATCGGGGACATTGTTAATCTGAGTAAAGTTTGTTGGGACGTCTACAGATTTGGATGGGACAACGACTACAACGCAAGTATGTTCCTCGATCCATTTTCCGTCGATGCTCTTTCGCGCATGTCCTCCTCTTGTCCGTATCTGTATGTTCGCCATTCGTCAGGATTGTTTCGGGTACATCAACCTCAGAATAAGCCTACTAATGGCTGATCGTCCTGTGATTCATTTGATTGAGAGCGCCATCTCAGCCCTCCGCCCGGCAAGCGTGGCTGTAGGGCTGACTTGAGGCTCTAAGAATTCCAAAACTGCAGACGGCGACACAAGCTAACGGCATCTCAGCCAAGCAATATGAGGAGTTCGGCCGCGACGTCAGGGGACTGGCTGAGAGCCTCGATATTCTCACCCGAGTGGTGAGCCAGGCAGAGCAGTCTCTCCGCAGAGATGTGTCGTACAAGTCACTGCGATGGGACCCGTCGTCCCTGGGGGAAATTATCGGAGACTACCAGGGAACCCTCAGAGAATGCATCGAGTTGATCGACAACAATAATCGTTATCGCCTGAATAGTGGTCCTCTCCGAAATATCGAGTGGAATGTGTTGGTTGCGCCAGCCGCGGACCGCCTACGGGCAAGAATCGCCCTGCATAACTCCAAGGTTCTTCACGTCCTGAAGCCGTTCGAAATGTAAGCTTCGTCTGTTACCCTCTGACAGTTGAAGACGCTAACGAGTCCAGCGATCTGCTGTGTCGTGTACGAGAAGACATACACAGGGTTCACCATGATCTTGTTGATCGCATCTCAGCTGTTCATGGGGATTTGCACCGCTTGATAGGGGTCCTAGTCCCAGACCTACAGGTGGCCCTAGATCAGCAAGCCCAACAACAGGAGCAAAGTCTTGACATCCCACTATTGGTAAAAGATGGGTTGCTCAAGGCTTGGGAGAGTCGATCCCCAGACGAGCCGGCCCCCGGTCTGAAAGAGATCACGGACGCCTTCGTCGTTCATTTCGACCATTCTACCGTTAACTTCACGCCGGCTGGTATTCTGGTTGAGAATAAGATCCCACGCCTGGAACAGTACCTGAGCCTTTTGAAGTGCGTATGGTTGAAGGAGCGGATTGACGAGTCGCCTGAGCTCAAACAGGCCGTCCCTGGGGTGTCGCATTGGCCATCATATGTCCAAGAACTCGAGGACGTGAGTTGAGAAACCCCAAGACTGTTGGTAGGAGGTACTAATAGACGCAGTGCCTTTCAACGCAATGCGGCCGGTTCAAGCACGATTTGGTCAAGCCAAGCCTTGCGGGATTGACGTCTGACATGCTCGATATCTGGCCTGAGAAGGAACTGCCTCAGCTTGTCGATGTGGTGACGAAGGATGTCCTGATGGAACAAGTCCTTGACATGTAAGGCCTGAACCATACGTGGCACCCATTCTGGAATGTAACTAACTTGATGGAAAGTCCACTCCAAGGTTCCGGTGCCAATGTCCAGAGACGACTTCAGCTTCTTCGCAGAATGGGCGCAGACGGGAGACGATTCAGGATCAATATCACTGGCGTGGAGCAGGGAGCAGTAAGGAGCGCACGCCGTCAAGGTATGTAAGCCTGGCTCAGTAGACAAGGATAATCGCTTACAGTTGCAGCCGAGACGATTGATTTCGATATCACATCCGTCATCCTCAACCCGCTGTATGCAAATCCATCTAGTTCTGGCGTACTGGAGATGATTCTTCGCAAAGACGAACGGATCGCGAGGCTATCCTTCATGGGACGCAAAGATATCATCAAGTTTCAGCAGGCAGTTACGGGATTCAAGGCCTTTGACAACTACTGCCAGTACAATACCATGGTCAGCTTTGTCGTCTCCGGTAGAGATGAACCGCTAGTCGAAGACGCCTGTGTCCAGTTTTGGATTCCAAAGCAGCTTGATGGCCAGCTGGTAACCAACAATGAGGCAACGGTGAAGGAAAACGCGAGGTCAGGTTCGATGTCGTCTACTGCCCATGATGCGACATCGAGACAGAGTACCATGCGAAGCATGTTCAGCTCCTCGAACGTATTTACCACGAGCCCTACGGAAACAGTTTCCATGTGGAATACGTCTGGGCTCGCAGCCCCATCTCTGTCAAGAAGCCCACCGAGACTTTCACCAGTCAACGGCATGAGCCCCTTTGGTGGTCGGCCACCTATATCTATCCCACGCCGCCCAGTTGGAGGCGGATCCAACTCGAGGAGACCGACTGCAAGCCCGACGGCACCGTCAGCAACATCGCCGTCGAGCCCGCCTTCCTCCAGCTTCTTTCCTAGATCATGGTCTTCCGCGATCGCACCGTCAGTTTCGACAGAGAATAGCCGGCAAGACCGAACTTTCAGCGTGTCTAGCAATGTTTCAACTACGACCTCGCCATCGAACAACAGCTCAGGCAATAGCGAGACGCATACCGTTACCGTAAGTATTGGCGGGCACACGACTGGAACTGTTCACAGGCGACCACCGAAGCCGATGATCGTCCTCTTTACCCAAAACCGTAAGACCAAGAGGCTTGCGCTGGTGACGGTCGACATTGACGAAAACACTGAAGTCAACCCCGACCGATGTAACTGTCGGAGGTCGGGAAAGGATGGAGCATCATGCACGATAGCCGCCATGGAACAAAAGAGGGGCACACTGAACCTCGTAGCCCGACGATTCGAGAGCCGTGACGGAGATGTCGACTGGAACCTGGCCAAGCTGGCACTTGGCCGTCAGGGGGAGAGAGAATATGCTGGTGCGATTTGGAAAGACGTTCGGCGTATCAGCATAATGTTTCCCACGCCGAAAGACCGAGAAACTTTTGGAGGAACTCCTAATCTGTGTCAATGCGTGTCGAGGACGGAAGCTGAGCTGGCCAACTGTCTGAAAGACCGGCGGCATAAGGGGCAGCTGGGTCTCGTTCGGGAATTTGGGCGGCAACAGCTGAACGAGTACCATCGAGAAAGGTTCGGATCGCAGCAGGACGTGGTCAGGGGGATGAGGGACGACATTCGGTAATTCGATAATGGCAACCGTGACTGCTGGTACTGGATGAGTCTAAGACATTGGCTGGATATACGGCTGTGTGTTCATGAATACAGACGCTAATGAAGGAGTTTAGAGGGAGTCGATCAAAGACATGGCCTCGGATGGGCTCTTCGACGAAAAGATAGATTATGGTGCAGATGTAGGGGGTGAGGAAACGGGCAGAAGGCTCTTCGTTCGCGAGATGATCCAGGGATGGCGAATCCAATTCTTCGATGTTGCCTGCGATATGCGGTCGGAGGACTGTAATGATACAGAACCTACCTCTACTTCAGAGAACCTGAGATGAATTAGCTCTCGACAGCAACATGAACTTCTGTGACCGTGAGTGTGTTGTAAGCGGCGAACCCGCGGAATTCCCGCGGCATCGGAGATAAGAAGAAAGAAGATCATGGCCCGCCCACGCCGACAAACATCAATGACATCGTCCCGGTGAGTCCCTCGACGGTCAGAATTGCTTTCTGTCGGAGACCGCCGACAGCAGACAGAGCATGAGTGACGGTAAATGGACGAAACCCAACACTCCCGTCCGCCCTGCCGCGCCGAACAACAACATCTCCGAGTCTCGGCAAGCATATGGACCAATGGGACGGGGTCTTCGGCGGCGCCTCTATCTCCCAGGATCCCTTCTTGACTCGTTTGGGACGATTCCTTATCTCTGCGCAGCGTTGACGTGCATCTTCTGGGTTGCTCTAGACCCTGGATTGTCTTATCTCTCGGATTGGATCGGCTAATGACTGCTAAGGCTTGGGATTGCTTCCATCACCTGTCGCGATGGAAAACATCTGCCCACGATCTTTCGGCGTTCGCGATGGGAGTCGCAAGTAGTATTAGATGAGCCAAAGCTAGAACGCCTTGGAGAGATGGGGTGAGCTTGAACGCTAGCATTTGATGCATCCTCTTTCTTGCTGAGTGGTCGAGGGTCTTATCAGCAACTATCGACTTGGAAATCTCCCTGTGGCATGATGGATCATTCCAAACCAACGTGCGCAGTTTTCTCAACGTTCTCGCATACTTCACCTCACTCCAGGTGAAGGACGTCGCCGGCGGCCATCTCGGAGAAGCTGGTGCCGTTTCGAAGCAACAGAGTTTGGCTGGTGAGATGGACGCAGTTCTGAGCTGTCCAGGGGCATCCGAGACACTGCACTGACTTTCAGAGCCCCAGCAAGCCCCCGCCGGCCACTACAACTGCAGTCAGTTGCTCCAACAAGTGCCTCCCGCACTTCGCAGGTCGCCGCATCTTCAAGCACTCGGTCCGCGTAGCCAGGCAGGATGCGCCCGAGAGGGAGGACGATGAACATGGCGGCAGTCTCCTGGAGTGCCACGCGGGAGCGATGCCGGGGAGTTCCCCCACACTCTGCGAGCCTCTACTTTGCAGTAGTTCCTCAGCTGCGGCCAGGGAT